GGAGAGGGAGGGAGCGAACCTATTGGATCTGATGGTATGGAGAGGGTGGGGCTTATATTCGTGCCGGATCTCGCCGTGGGAAAGAAATGAAGGAGGAGGAGGAGGCATGCCGATATAAAACATTATCGGTGGAGTCAGTCGAGCGGGGGAAAGATCCACGATGAGCCAGTGAGGCGACGTCGGATCTCCTGACTGCTATGTTAGGCTCATAAACTTTGATTTTGGCATTAAATGTCACCACCACGTTGGGCCGGGCGCTGGCTCCACCATCTTATCGTGCGATCCGTGTGTTTTTGGTACAAAATGTTAGCTATCGGAGTTGAGCTTGGCGAGGGCAAGGACCTAGTGGAGATGTAAGGTGTCAAGTTCAACGTCAAGACCAATAATCTTTAGAGAAGGAATGAATGAGAAACATGCCTGTTTAGACCTCGTCCCCAAAATGCATGCTCGGTTAGTTCGTTCAAACTCAACGCTGTTGGAGAGTGGCTAAAGCTCTGAAATGCATGACCGATTTTAGGTATGCGTCGTCCTTTGCATGAGTCGTTGGAGATAGTCTAAAGGGATGTCCCAAGCCAAAATGTACTATCTTAAACACAAAGAATTATATACTATAAAATTACGTTTCATGATGAATTTAGTATAGAAAAAGTAACGTTGTCCTTATGTTACCAATCTATATGATTCTTAATAGTCAATATTAGAAAAAAATGGCTTGCAATAAATTAAAACAAATAAATAGTCATTGTCACAAAGTTTTTTAATCCTTGTGTATATGTTTAAAACAACCTAATGTTTTGCTAGAGCGTTTGCAATCCAATTAATCCTTAAGAAAAACAATTAGATAACGCTAAACCCTAGTTCCAGGTAGCCCGGGCGTTCGGTTCTACCGAACCGAACCGATCGGTTCTTCGGTTTTTGAAGAAGTTCGGTTCTCAGAAAACCAGTACCGATCGGTTCTTAAAAAACATGGAACCGACCAAGTTTGGTATCGGTTCTTTCGGTTTGGTTCCGAGTAGAACCGAAAAACCGAACAGTACCCAAAATCCATGTAACAACATGTTCAATAGAGTGCTAACTTCTAAAGCAAGGCATCAGCATTCAGCAAGAAAAGTGCAAGACACTAAAACAACACACTACTACACTAGCACAGCACAACACAAATACTGAAATACTTCTAGCCATCCAGGTGACCAGGCAATCGCCAATCAGCAAGACAATCAGCAAAGCAGCAAATTTTGGTTAGTTCGGTTAACCGAGGATGGGGACCATTTTACCGAACAAATTTTGGTTCCTCAGAAATGAGAACCGAACAGGGAACCGAGACTTCGGTTCTCGGTAAATTTGGTTCGGTTCTCGGTTTTTTCGGTTTGGTTCTCGGTAAAATTTACCCAAGGCTAGTTCCAGGTGGCCCAGGGTAAGCCTAGGCTCCAGGTGGCCCAGGGTAAGCCTAGGCTCACTATTGGGAATTTTTAAAAATAAGGTTGTATCAAAGTGGTGCGATGCGCATACATGCACGGGGATAGATTCAGTTTCCCTGGCAGATTCAGACAACGCTCGTTTTCGTCCTAGTACTGCGTCAATTAGCACTAATCTAGTAGTATCCAACATTATCCTACATGCATGTGTGCAATTTGATGTTTTTTTTTTCTGGTCTGCGATTCACATGCACCGGTAACAAAAGCTGATACGGCGCACCTTGCTCCCGGTGCGGATGACGTAGCCCTGCTTGTTTGGGTTTATTTGGCTTATAAATCATGGCTGAAAGTACTATTGGTTGATTTGGTGTGAGAGAAAAATATTATTCGTTGTCTGATAAGCCAAATACTACCCAGCTAACATGCAGCTTCCGGGCCGCTTTATTTTTTATACACGCAAGGGATCACCACGCCGGGACTGGCGAGGAGAAAGGAAGGAGGCATGGGGCAGCCGGGCAGCTCTGCTCGACTGATAGCAACGGTTACAGAAAAGGAGGACGACTTGATGCTGGCGCGTCTTTGTCGATGCAGATACGCACTGTGCCCAGCCGGATCTTTTCACTGCCGCCATGCTCCATTCTTTCGTCCCGCCGTGCTGTGCTGCCTGTGCACTTTCTTTTTTACTCGATATAATATGCATTGCACGTCTCATATGAGATGCGGTCTGCAGCAGCAGTTCTCATGCATGGTGCCGTCAGCTCAGGACATTTCACCCCCTACTATCGCCTATCGGTCGGTTGCCACTCACGTACGGGGTACGGCGTATGTATGGGTACGGGATCCGCCACTGCTCGCGGTCTCTTGGGCTGGCGGCTGGCGGCTGGCAGCTGGCAGATCTCACGTCATCGCGCGCGCGCACGGTGTACTACCACACACGGTGATCGAGCGAGCCCCCGTCCAAAGGCTACCGGCTCCGGCGAGGCAGGCATCTTCGCGTCTTGGGAGATCGCCCAGCCCAGTTGCCCACGCGAGCTCCGACAGGGGCGCGTAATGGCCGGGGACCCCGTGGCCCGTGGCCGGTGGTCCATATGCCATGCATCCGGACCCTCCGATCCATCCGCCGATCAATCGCCTAGCTACTATTGGGATCGATCGATGATCCCCGGCCGGGCTTTCTACGGCCAAAACTTTAGGCGTCGTCCCGTCCCCCGTGACATGCAGATCGATCGACCTGCCCGGCTGATGCTCTGCTTACAGCACAGAACGTTCGCCGATCGACACCGCACCCGCGCAGTTCGCGGTGAGGGGGTGAACACGCTGCGCAGCGGTGGTCCATCCAGTGTGGGCGCAGGCACGCACGACGCCAGTGGTGACCGGGGGTGCTGACGCCGCGGCGCCGGCCGGATCGCGCGGCGCGTGTGTTGCCCTTGGGTCTGGAGCCGGCGTCGGCGTCGGCGTCGGCGCCGTTGCGGAGCGGAGGGGAGTCGGACATGCTACTGATGTGATGATGGATGGATGGATGGATGGATGGGTTCCCCCGATCGATCCAAGGGGTTTTCCCCCCTGCTGTGGTCCTGTACGTCTGTCGTGCATGTGGCCTGTGGGCGTACGTATGATGCGGTGTTTCTCTTTACGTGCCCCGGTGGAGCACGGATAGCATCTCCCTCTGTTTGCTTGCCGCTTCCTTTCCTGTTGATCTAGATCTCAGGGTTTTTCCGGTGTTGGCAATAACGAAGTTATGCATGGTAGTCCTCGGTGGTGGCTTATGCAGAATTCACTCTGTATAAACGGATTGCTCGGCGAGTCTTTTGCTTTCTCGTGTGTATTAGAATGTGCTCAGTCACGTCAGGGGCGCTTGAAATATAATCTTATCATAGGAACATTTTAGCGGCGGTGCCACGTCGTTAACGTTATGGCTCTCGTTTGTGCACTCATTTCTTTTCACAAGCCCAACCGGTGATAACATCGCATACCTCTCGTGTTGACACTCGTCGAGTTGTCGTCCATCTGGTTTGGCGTACTACTAATAAGGTGATTAATGACAGGGACATTCCTGAGGTGATTGATTTAATCGAGTAAAAAACCACTAATAAACGTAGAATCGTGCGTCCACCTTCTACTAATAGCCGGAATATGTTCACTCACCTTATACCCTCGCTTCTACCTTTACAATGCTACTAACTCAACTAGTCCACTGATTTAAACGAGCAACTGTTTTTTAGGAAAAATAGTTAAGTTAGGCGCCAACCTTTTTCCGTTAATGTTTTGATGCTGAATTATATATTACTCCTTACATTATATGAATTGAAGACATTTTAACTTTTTTTTCTACATACATTGTTTTTCTATTTATCTAGACATATTGTATATCTAAGTGTGTAGCAAAACTATATATATATAAATCCAAAACATCTTAGGGTTTGGAATGGAGGGAGTCATACTATTGTATTTTCTTATCTATAAAAGCCCGCTTCCCCAAAATATCCATGCTGAGCCTAGGTCGATATCTTTATGTGTCCTGCCACAATCATTTGGGATCCCTCTGGAACACAAGATTTTTAAAACATAGGAACAAAAAAAAATGTAGAATTGAAGTTGCACGGAAGTTGTAATAATCCTACAAAATTCGAAATCTAGAAAAGTTTTTGTTGTGACCTTTATATACAACATAGAGTACAAAAGAGACGTAAAAAAAGTTTCTATGAGATCCAACCAAATGGTAGTTTTTCTTCAATATTCCGATGGTTTTATCCATCCCGTAAACATCCAAAATAATTTTGGTTTAATATTCTGTTCCAAAAGGGACATTGTAGAAATTTCTCAATAGGATTAAACTTTTCTCTATAGGATTAAACTTTTCTAAAAAATCCTATATTTTCCATTGTCGCAAAGGGAGCCTCACTGTCGACACTAAAACGGGAGAAACACCGGACATATCGGACGCCCGGGCGGGAGCCGTCGTCACCTAACCTCTACAGATCGCCCAAACTGCCATGTCGTCGTTACACAGCCCGCAGTTACGCGGCACACCAATTGAAACGCCGCGCCGTGGCACCCCCGAAAGGCCCAGACGGCATGACCGCATGAGCCGGTCGGTAACCGGTTAACCTTTGCCCGCCGTCACGCGGAAATGGAAATTACTCCGGTGCTACCCACTGACACCGTGGTCCCACGTACACCCGATTTCACCGCTTCCGCTTTACCTTCTCCAGTTTAGGACAGCGAGCAGTAATAACAGCGCCGGCAAAGCCCGCCACCCCGGGCGGACAAGAAGCAAGCAATTACCGCGACAACAGACGACGGCGACGCGAGCAGCCGAGCACCAACCACCCTTAAGTAAGACGCAGGGGGCGGCGCTGCGCCTGGGCGGGCGGTGAGATCAGAGGAAGCAACGGGGTCGCTCGCGGGCGCTGGGGCGTGGGCGACTGGGCGTGGCGGATCTCATCTAACGCCGCCACTTGCTGCTACGACCTCTGACCTCCCTCCCTCCCTCCTCCGTCTCATCATCATCTTTGTCCCTCTCGCGCAATTCGCCGAACACGCCTCGCGCGCCTCGCCTCCCCGCGACGGCCGCCTCCACGGCCAATGGGCGGCGCGATGAGCGTGGAGGAGGAGGTGGAGCGCGGGGAGGAAGAGGAAGAGGAGGAGGAGGACCTGTTCTACGAGTCGCTCGACCGCATCCTCTCCTCCTCGGGCTCCTCCACCTCCGCCTCGGACGACGACGGCGCCGACCGCCCGCGCCGCCGCCGCGGCTGCGATGCGCCGGCCGCGGCTGTGGCCGCGGCAGCGGCGCTCGACCTGTGGACCTCCCAGCCGGCGCCCGTCCAGGAGCGGCGCCAGCGGCTGCTCCAGCTGATGGGGCTCGCCGGGGATCCTTCCCTCGCCGGGTTTGAGACGGGCCGGTCCGCCTCCGAAGACGCCGCGGGCCCGCCCCCGGCCTCCCCCGTCTCGCGGTCCAGATCAGGCGGGGCCGCCCTGGGCTCCGCCGGGAAGCCGCCACTCGGGGGCGGCCGTCTGCGGTCCTCCTTGTCCGACGGCTCCGATGCTGCCGACGAGGACCCCAGGTGCTTGATCAGGAACCTTGACGACGGCAGAGAGTACGTGGTGAGGGAAGAATTCGGTCTCCGCGAGGTCGGCACGGGGCGTCACCTTACCGTTGAGGAGCTGGCCCGCTCACCTATTGTTCAGGAGCTTATGCGCCGACAAGCTTTCAGTACTCCCAACTCCAACTGCACCTCAAATTCCCAAAGTGGCGCCTCCACGCCGATCGAGAGATCGAGCTCAGGTTCCAGCAACGGTGGGGCGCGCTACAAGCGGCGTAGCGGCTGGCTCCGCAGCATCCGCTGCGCAGCTGGCTCCTTGGTCACCCACTCCCGTGACCGCCGCAGCAGCGACGAGAAGGACACGTCTTCAGACAAAGGCGGCCACCACTCCTGCTCCGCGACGGATGACAGCCAGGACAGTGTTCCACGCCATGGCCCCGCCCGAGTCAAGGTGCGGCAGTACGGGAAGTCACATAAGGAGCTCAGTGGCCTGTTTATGACGCAGCAGATACAGGCACACAATGGTTCCATCTGGAGCATCAAATTTAGTCCTGATGGCCGTTACCTTGCGAGTGCCGGGGAGGATTGCATAATTCATGTTTGGGAAGTGTTGGAGTTCGAGAGGGCAGGGAAGGAGAGGGAGGTGAAGGAGAACGGGGTGTGCAATCCGCTTGTTGCTTTGGTGTGCAATGAGTCATCAGAGACGATGGTGGCATCAGCTGCTCCAAGTGGGAGCCATTGGGAGAAGAAGCTGCGATCAAAGGTACTGCACAGTGGGGGATCAGTGAGCTCAGACAGGTTGATGGTGCCTGAGTATGTGTTTGCACTGTCCGAGAAGCCTGTGATAACCTTTGCAGGGCATTCAGAGGATGTGCTTGATCTCAGCTGGTCCAAATCTCAGGTAATGTACACACATTTCTAATTTATCTTCAATACTAATGTGTAAATATTAATTTTCAGTGTAAGTGCAAAGTTCAGGCTACAATAGAATGTGGAATACCTGAAAGTAGGATATCAGTCACGGAAATTAGATCCGAACATAACTCATTAAGAACGCAAAAGCTGTGTAATAACAATTGTCATATTAGAAACATCGTGATCACACACCAGCTCAACTTATTTATTGTTGGGTTTGGGCGTACATAACTTGGCATCCAGATCTGGCATAGTGCAACTGGTGCACTGTCTGGAAAGGAAAACTTGACCAGCTGCCATTTATGCATTTTCGTTTTTGCGATAGATAAATTGACTTTATTGCTCCCAAGTGTACCCAAGCTTTTACCATGTGCATAAGACCCAGGTGCTCTCTACATGTAACTAAGACATGGTCTCTACACGCTTATACATTGCCATTTTACTATGGTTTTAATTTCCGTCTCAGTGCATCTAAAAAGGGCGGGCCTGGTGTAAGCGGTAGAGTCTTACCGCCTGTGACCGGAAGGTCCCGGGTTCGAGTCGCAGTCTCCTCGCATTGCACATGCGAGGGTAAGACTTGCCACTAACACCCTTCCCCAGACCCCGCACAGAGCGGGAGCTCTCTGCACTGGGTACGCCCCCTTTTTTTTTTAATTTCCATCTCAGTGCATCTAGAAAGTTCAGCACGTAAAAACTAAGCAGGAATTACACTGCAGGCTCCTAAACTTGCCTGGTCGTCTCAACTAACCCCTCAAACTTTTAGAGCCCCTTGAACTTGCATGGGTCTCACCAAAACCCCTGAACAGAAGCAAAGTTTAGGGGGTTAAATCAGACAACTGTGCAAGTTTAGGGGCTAGGTGTGACAACTGTGCCAGTTGAAGGAGATGAGAAAGTAATTTGCAAGTTTGCCTAGCTAGCCGGCTAGGTGACTACCTCTACCGCACAAGTTCAGAGACCTACAACACAGTTCTTTCTTAATTTATTGGCATTTGGAGAACCTATTGTCTATGATCTGGATGATATTGTTGTGTGCTGTCAAAATGTAGATATTTGAGTCCTACATTTGAATGTCAGCTAACCAGTTTCATGATACTGAACTGGAATTGAAAGTTTTTCTTTTTTTTCCCTGTGTTTTTTACCCATAAGGTTCCGATTTTGTTAATCGATATTCATTCTTTCTCTGCATCAGATCAAAGAAGGTATTAAGCTTGTCAAGATAGTTGTAATTTACTTCCTCTGTTCCAAAATGTACACTGTTTTAGCTTTGACCTAAACCAAACTTCTCTAATTTTGACCAAGTTCATAGAAAAATGAGCCAACATCTACAGCATCATATTAGTTTCATTAAATCCAACATCAAATATGTCTTGACAATGCTTTTATTTGGCATTGTAGATGTTAATATATTTGTCTATAAACTTGGCCAAAGTTAGAGAAGTTAAATAGAATAAGTTAACTTTGATGTAGTGTAGGTTTGCCTCTGTCAGACCTCTTTTTTGAATAGTTTATGGATAGCAAATACTTTGACAAAATCATGAATTAGGTATTCTATATCTCTAAGATGAAATGAGATTTGTCTTGTTTTAAATGGATAAATCTTGGTTTTAAAAGTGCAAATTAACTATTCCATTGGTATTTATTTAGGAATCAGTGCTCATAACTAGTCAAGCTACTCTGTCCTCAAATACACTGAAAGCATATGCGGACAGCCAGACACCATGCACAGCTTTTTTTTTTTTTTTTTTGCTAGGCACTTGTCTTGCTCGTCTCTTGGGATACTTGCTGCTGTTAGTAAAGGCATATCCATTTCTACAGCATGTTGAATTTGAAGTATAACTATTATGAATTCATTGTAGTTTCCTGCTAGTTCAGCATCCCTTATATCCATCTTTTAGTTCCTGCAGTATTTGCTTTCATCGTCAATGGATAAAACAGTACGGTTGTGGCACATGTCAAGCACTTATTGTTTGAAAACCTTCTCACACACTGACTATGGTACGAACATCACTTCAGAATCACCCCACCCCGTCCCTCTCACTGTCTAAGCACTGCAACAGCATTGTCCGTCTAATATAATTTCTTTTTGATTCAGTGACTTGCATCCAGTTCAATCCTGTTGATGATAGATACTTCATTAGTGGTTCCCTGGATAAAAAGGTTCGTATCTGGAGTATTCCAAAGCGTGAAATTGTTGATTGGGTCGATCTTCATGAAATGGTTACTGCTGCCTGCTATACTCCAGATGGAAAGGTTTGAATTTGATCTATTTCATAGTTTCTTAATTTTGGTCAAGTGGAGCTGCTAGTTGTTCATCCTAATACCTTAAGATGTTGTCTCAGGGCGCGCTGGTTGGGTCCCACAAGGGCAGTTGCCATCTGTATGATACATCTGGTACATCGGCTTGCATTTTAGTTCTGTTCTCAACTCTCATTCAAAGACCTTATTTCCTGTTCGGTGTCTTGCAAGCCTAACCTTATACTTTTCATTTCTCCTGGCTAGATGACATGCTTTGCTACAAAACACAGATCGACCTGCAAAACAAGAGAAGAAAATCTAGCCAGAAGAAAATAACAGGATTTCAGGTGCTTATTTTGACTAAACATTGTGTTGTGATGTGAATCATTCTGCACCAGAGTTAAGATATTTTTGGTTTGTTAAACTGAATAATAGCTCCTTAAACAGTTTGTCCCAGGGGATTCTTCAGTGGTCATAATCACATCTGCAGATTCACGAATCAGAGTTCTTGATGGTTTTGAGCTAGTTCATAGGTTTAAAGGTAAAAATTTATTATCAACTATTTTTCACTTAAGTTTACAATTTACACTGGTTCAGAACTTCAGAACATGGTGCAATCATTGTTGACTGTGAATTGTTAGTCGTTGAATTCTTACTCTTGGTAGTAACAGAATTCTTACTCTCATCGAGAGAGGATGACAATAGGAGTTGGGGCAATTTTCTGGTTTATTTCTCACACAAATACCATGCCAACCTGAGCGGTTGGGGATACATATTTATAGGCTGCTAGCCAGCCAAGCATATGCCAAGATGCTAGATACTAACATGCTGTCCTAAAACAGATGCTGTCCTAGCCAGTCAAGGATGCTGTCTTTGATGGGCAGCAAAACCACCATGCAGCCACAAGGACCATATGCTGCAGCCCCACAAAGACCAGCCAACACATAGACTTATCCCATCATGGATACTGAAGATCAATTGTATCTGCCTTGTTCTTCCTTCAAGCGCAGTGCTGGAACATGTCAGCTTGCGCTTTTCTGCTATCATTGGCTCTATTGTTCACTTAACATGTTCAAATAGCTCGTCCCTATTGATAGATCTAACGGCCACATTGTTTGTTTTCCTGTGCATGTCACTCTCTGTCTGTTATTAAGAAAAGGAATCATTGCTTAATTTTCGTCTTCTATTCTGCTGCTTGGTCCAGTTACATAGTTCTTATGTCTTGAAATATTTCAGGATTCCGAAACACCAGCAGCCAAATCTCAGCTTGTTTAACTGGAAATGGGTGGTATATTATCTCAGCAAGTGAGGATTCCCATGTATATGTCTGGAGGAACAATGATGGTTTGAAACCAAGTAGAAAGAAGGGCATTGTTTCTGTTACAAATACCCATGAACACTTCCACTGCGAGAGTGTGACAGTTGCTGTTACCTGGCCTTTTACCAGCACCACAATGACTTCTTTAATGAACCCCAGGAAACAAGAAGAGCTTGATCGTGGGTCTGAGAATGACTGTTCACCGCAAGGTCTGCAAACCAAACTTGCTAAGGAACAGGAGATGCCAGATGTTGAGTACCGGAGCACAAATATCACAAGTAACTTGAATCATAATGGTGACCGGACATCTCCGACTTGGCCTGAAGAACTTATCACACCATCAAATCAGAATCTCAGGGCTACTACCTGCCATGCCAACGAGGGAGATCAAGCTCTGAATCAGTCGGCCTGGGGCCTAGTAATTGTCACAGCAGGCCATGGAGGTCAAATCAGAACATTTCAAAACTTTGGTTTTCCTGTAAGAGTATAGCATGAATCTGAATACGTAAGATAGTCACTGCCATTCAGGAGTGTAGTTTGTGTATAGATAGGAGATAGTGAGTGAGTTTCACACTATTCGGGGATTGGGTTTGACTGTTCCTTGGTGCACCTGCTAGAGATCAGAATCTTCGTCTAACATACACTGTCAGTACTGCGAAGCTTGGTATGCCAAATTTATTTACCCGAAAGGCCTAAATTGTACATGAAAGAGAAAGCCCTACAGGGCTACAGAGAGCAACACTATCAGCTGACTGGAGATAATTCATCTCTGTCAGCTTCAACCCCACCTTTCGCTTTTAGCCTAATTGTCATTTTCACTTTGTGGGTGTCATGGTATTGGTACCGTGAATATTTTTTTTACCTGTTCAAACAATGCTGGCAAATGCAGTGTTTCCGCGCCAGATAAGTCAATAACGATCCTTTGGCTTACTCTCTTTTTTTTCGAATGAGCCTTTGGCTTACTTCATCTTTTCTGATTGTCAATAATGAGCCTTTCGCTCACGTCTTAAATTATGGGTAGGTTGGCATGTAAGTTCACTTGTTGGGTTTCATTTTTTGAAGAAAAATGAAATATGATAAAAAAAATGCTGTAAATTCAGAATATGGTGCTCCGAGGTAAGCAAACTCAAAATATGTGCTATGCTTGACTAGTTCGGTGCAAGTTACTTGTACTTGTACTCCGAGAAAATAGAGGCTAACGCTAACAAAAGGAAGGGTATAGTTCATATCAGGGGTGTTGGCCTAATGGATAATTTTGCCAGCCCCGTGTTAGCTCAAACCGTTTCCAACCAGCCTAGTTCGCATTAGGGCCTGTTTGATATGCATTAGGATCGAGTGGTGGTGTAAGTTTGAGTGAAAACCTTTTTAAATATTTTGTGAAATGCTAACTTGGACTTAAAAGGTGGTGGTCATAGTATGGGTGTTACCATGCCACGTGGCTCAGGCACGACCATGGAAGTAATAAAAAAGATTTGAGCTTCTTCACAAAAGATGAGACGTTAAAAATGAAAGTGCTTGCAAGGCATACCCAAAAAGGGTATATGATTTTTGAATGTTTTCAACAAAACCTTTTCTCAGGAGTACTTTTCACAAAGTTTTCACTAATATAATATTAGTAGATAATATTCAAACTCCATTTGAAAAGGTCTAAAAAAGAGCTCGACGGAGTGTTTTTACACTTACCGGAGCTCTTCGATGACCACGTTCTGATCACCGAAGCTTTAGAACAGTGTTCCAGCTAGGCTATTGTCGAGCACGTACACGTTATCTTTCGGTGCCACATGAGCATCGGAGCTTTGAGACAGTGCCTACTAGGCGGCGACAATTTCAAATGAGAGCACCGGAACTCTCCAGCACCGCAGTTGTGCACCGAAAAGTAACTTCAGAGAGGGTTTTTTATACACCGTTGGGCAAAGCTCTCTCGAGATGTCATTGGAGTTTAATGGCTAGTTCTAAGCTGCTGGTTACTGCTTGTAAAGCTTTGGTGGTGTTCTTCGGTTAGGCATCGGAGCTCTCCGGTGAGGCCAAAAAATATAGTAAATGTACAACGTCTAATTTTGCATGTGGGGTTATAAATAGAGGACTTAGTTGGGCTTGGCCAGACTATTTGGAACCCTTGACTAATATACACATACATTTGAGCTCAAGTTAACCCTCCACTCTCAGTTTCTAGCTTGTGATTGCATCTTTGGAGAGTTTGTAGTGATCTTAGTGTATTTGCTTTTAGAGATTGCTTGAGTAGCACTAGAGATCATGTTGGTTGTAGATTCGCTCGTTACTCTTTGTGGTTGTCATCACCTAGATGACTTCAAGCAGTCAAAGCACTCAATTGAAGATTATGGGCTACTCCAGAGGTGATTTTGTATGGGGTTGTTGGGCTTATCCCGAGGAGGCAAATAACCACTCTAGTGGAAAAGAGGTTTGGAGAGCGCCTTGTGAACAAGCCGTCTCAAGATCAAGTGATCACGTCAAAGTCAACCTTGCGGGTTGTATACTTGCTAGAGGAGCAGTGATCCTTGGGCTTGTCTCAACGTGCATTTAAGTAACTAGCAAGTTAATGAAGCACAGATATATATCATCGTGTCATCCTTTGTGTGGTATCTCACTTGATCACTCTACTCTTGTAGTTTACTTTGTGTTCTTTCAATTCCTAGAGTAGAGAATTTAGTACTCGTCACCCTATGAAGCAAATCGAGCTATAGTCTTTTCAACTCTAGTGACAAAGCATAGTTTACATCTTTTAGACTAGAATTCTGTAGGTATTGATCACCCTAGAATTACAAAACACTAAATATAGTAAAATTATTAGGGCCTCCTTTGGTTCTAACATTTTTGTCTGTGTTTGTGAGCTTATAGAATTTTAACTAGACTATTCACCTCTCTCTAGCCAACCAAAAATCTTTTCAGTGTTCCACAATAACATTCTCAATCAAGACGCAAAACTTCGACCATGTATTATGTGACCTTGGAGAAAGCGTCATTGTCATGCCCAAGATAGTATTTGATAAATTCAATTATACAACCTTGTCTCATACACCCATGTGCTTACAGCCTCGGCCAAATGGCACACTACTTGGTGAAAATAGTGGAGAACATTCTTGTGAGAATCAAGAATTGCTTCGTCTCTGCCGAGTTCATAGTGCTCGATGTGGAGGTCGACATGAAAATGTCTCATTCTTGGGAGACCATTTTTGAGTATTGCAAATGCACACATCGATGTGCGTGGTGGAGAATTCAACTCACCGCTGGTGAACACTTAGAGAAATTCGCATTCAACCCATGAGTTGAGCAATGCTCACATGTATAGATCACGTATTCTGGAGATGGTTCTTGGAAACACATTATGTCTGACAAATTTCAGTGTCCAGTTTCAATGCCATCGCACCCAACCTATGACAAGAGCTAGTAGTGTAAGTCATACAAGAGGACGACCAACTACACTCGTTAGGAGGAAATTCAGTTATGTGTTTAATGGGACAACATTAGCATAGATCCTGTCACTCGCAACGAGTAGCCAAGAAAGGCTTATTGGAAAAAAGATTGCTGGTTACTTTCATGCCCACAAGAACTTTGAGCCCTATAGGAGTGTTAACTCTCTTGAGCAGTATGAGGTTTTACGCAATGGTTGAAGCTACCGAGGGTTAAGTACCATTTAAAAGGAGTGTATGAGGTTTTATGCAATGTTTGAAGCTATTGAGGGTTAACATCCAAGCGGTATATCATACAAGGAGAATATAAGTTCATTTGTGTATTATGTAGTCCTAAATTTAGAATTAGATGTGTACTAAATACTAATTAACTTTGGAACTCACTTCTATCTTTGATGCAATTGATGAAAGTGCAAGTTTCATGGACAGCCTACACAAAATGGTATTTAGTACTAGCAACTCTCTACTATCACAAGAAGAAGATGGTAGAAAGAGCCAATATATGAAGGCGGTTCTTTTATATGGTTTACAAATATATGAGTTTGAATTATACTGGTGATACGAAGGATAAAAATAGATATCTTCTCTACCTCTATCTCTATCTATCTATACTAAAAAAAACTCTAACGTCATCATCTATCCAGTGATACCAAATCTCGATCCTTGCTCACACATCCGTGTCCAGTACAAATCATCCTCTACTCGGAGGTCGGAGTTCATACATCGTGTCCTACCCAGTTTTAATATGAAAACTATATCTACGTGTCTGCATCCGATATGAAATCCTCGGAGCTTACACGTTCGCATCCGATTGCTGTGATTTCTCTTGGTGCAACGCCGAACATATATCTAGTATTATATTAAAAACAAGATAGGGAGCCTGAGAACGTAAAGCTCCATTAGAAGGGAGCCATTAATGGAGATGGTCTTAGAAAACCCTTCATATATTATGATTCAAGCGTCTTATTTTTTCATAACCAGTTACAAATTTTAAAAAATAAAATATCCATATCCATCGAGAAAAAAAAACGTCCGATCTCTCTCGTTTTGTTGGCACCGATTTGGACGGCCAGGTGGCCCAGCAACAAGCACCCACCCACCCACCCAGCCATAAAAAAATAAGTAAAAGTGGGTCAACCGCCCACCTCCTGCCACCACCACCACCACCAGTAACGCAGACGTGCCAGAACCAAACGCCTTTGCCGCGCATGGCGCAAAAGAAAATAGAATGAAAAACGCAAAAACATATAAATTTGTAATAGTTACCAGGCGATAATACCAGCGAACCAGCCTATCCGCCCGCACCCTCTGTCCCGTGCGCCGTGCCCCTCCCCAGTCCCCCGCCACCTGCCAAAATAAATAAATCCATCTGCTCTCCAGTTCGGTGCCGCAATCCGATCAAAGGCTAGGGTTTCAAGCCTCTCCCAACTACCCCTCCCTCCCTCTTCCCATCCCCCACCACAACGCGGCCGCCATAGACGCGGTAGCGCACGAACTCCTCCCCTAGATTTGAGCGAGCCACACCCTGCGAATCCTCACCTGACGCACCAAATCTGGTCAGAGACGGTGAAGAATTCGAACACGATCTTAAGCATCGTTGATTTAAGACCACACAAACACATCTGCCTGCCTTTCCCCCTACCTGTTTCCTGTGTGTGTGTTTTTTTTCTCTGTTTCGGACGATTCATAAGAACAGACCTGCAAGGCTTGCAGATCTACCTGGTCGAGAACCAGCCCAGAACGAACCCTTGACCCTGCGGATCTGCTCGATCCGTTTTGGATCTGCTTGTTGTTTTTGCTGGATCTAGAGAGAATGTTCAAGTCGATGGTTTATTACGGGAACACCTCAATCGGAGAGGTGGAGGTGTGGCCCAAGGGCGAGGCGAGCGCGGGCCTGGCCGTGGCGGCGTGGGTGCGAGAAATCCGCGTTGACCGCCTCTCCCCGCCCAGCGAGCGGTGCCCTCCGCTGGCGGTCATGCACACCGTGGCCGTCGGCGCCCGATGCCTCGTCATGGAGTCCAGGCCGCCCGTCGCCGCCGACGTGGCGCCGATGCCTCTCGTC